AGCACATGCACCTTTAGGGAACACATTGAAACCATAGCACATTGCAAAAACAGTCTCTGCCTTACAAAATTCTTGGTCTGTCAGAGACAATGGGACATTTAGCACATGAAAGGTGATGAATCAGCTGATGGAGAAAGCCCAGACAACCACATGAGTTCCATCCCACACTGAATATATGGGTCCTTGGCAGACAGCTCAGCACTGGCTATCAACATCTGCCCACAATCTGCAGATAGGGCTCAGTCTCTGCAACTGCTCTCCTAGTCCAGAGTCTTGACCAACTACCTTCCCAGTGTTCTGTATTTCCAGTGTGCTAGTTATTTTTGCTTATTTTTTGCTTATTCTCATTTCTTAAGCTGAGATACAGGTGATAAAGACTTTCCTCTGATGTAATAACTCCCTACTCCATCTTCTGCAAAATTCCTGCAATAAATATCTTCATTGTCTTTTGTGTTTTCAAGGTCCTGGGGTGGCTCTGGGTTTTAACGTTGACTGCATAATTTATTGACAGTGTACTGCTGGGCAACTTATTAGCTATTCTAAGCTGAAGTGTTAATCTGTACAGGGGTTAGTAATACCTCACAGCTGACAGAACTCTTCAGAATTAAATAAGATAATAATTGAAATGTGCTTAGTGTACAGTGTCTGGTATATGGCAAGTGCCCCACAAAGGAATCTGGTGTAATTGTCACTCAGTTTCTTTATGGTGGCGGTGTCTCCCACAATCAAGCATTTCTTTCTCTCTCTGGGACTAAAATCTCTCTTTTCAATCTGTCCCTGGTTTTTGCTGCCTTATCTCCCCAAGCCTGCTCAATGCACTTTCTCATTACCATATTATAGTCTGGACAACTGAACAACAAACCACTAAGATCTCTGAATTGGGGTGCCATTGCCAGTTGGTTCCCTGAAACTCCAGTCTGCTTGCTGCTCAGTGATCTTGGATTTATTCCTGATGGTAGTAGTAGGAGTCAAGGCTACTCTGTGGACACACTTGTCTTAACCTTCGTTCTCAAACCTTAACCCTTCGTGTCCTGGCATCATTTCTTCCATTTACTCTTGCCTGGCTATAAGCTGGTGGTGATGGTGGGAGAATTTTAGAAACTTCAAAGCAAATGGTGGTCTTCATTTGCCTTAAGAGTGGTAGTTGGACCCTTTGTTGGAAGGTCTTTGGGGGAAGAAAAAAGTTGTCCCTTCATTTTACTGCTTCCTAAGCTTCCACAGACTAATTTGGTCACAATAAAGGTTCCTCTGACAAGTGTGGGGTGGGGACATGGGAGCAGAGGCTCTACTCCTGAGGACAGCTTTCTCAGAACCAAAGAGGTCATAAGGGAACCAGAGCTGGAAGGTTGGTGCAGTCCCTAAGTGTTGCCCTACAATGCCAAAATCCACTTTGAAAGAGGACCAGACTGATGCTGGAGGTTGTGCTCAGCTGTAGAGAGGGGAGGAACCAGGAACCAGGCTGGTAGCTGCCAAGAAAGCTGCAGAGTGGCCAAATTTGGAAGCTAGCCCATTGCTCAAATCCTGTCCTGCCAGCTTGGTGCCTCTAAGTGTTTCCAAGTTCCCTGGGCCACCATGGCCATCTTCACCCTTGATGGCCTTTCTACTGTTGATGCCCTTAGGATTTGTCCCACCACAGACATCCCCACTCTAATGAATTTTATGGTCATGGTCCAGCTTCAAATATTGAGGATGCAAAATTGCCTGGATCTGGCTGTTTGGGATAGAACAACAAATAACAAAGACACATGGAAAAGTAGAGGTTGGGCATTGGTTGGGTTGTGGCCATTGCTTGGATTCACCCCTTGAGGGCTCAGTCTTTGCTACTGTTACCTATTTATTAACACTGGTGAGCAAAATCAAAGTTGATAATCTGTGTTACATCAGCCTAACTTGGTAGGAAAAAGAGGCTGCTTTGGCCATCTTGGAAGTGGATGCTGCCTCTCTGTCTTCCATCAGCGTGGCCATGGAACCTTTGTCCTTGCGTCTAGGGGATGGGTGGGACCAGAAGGTAGCTATTCCTTTTCTAGTAATATCTACCTGACACCTACCATTGCTCAAATAGACAGGACTGGTGAAGGCTTTGCATGTGCCAGGGGCCATGTTCATCCCTCTACCTCGTGACCTCATGAATACTCACATGACTTGATAGCTGAGAACCAAAAGCAAGTATTTTACAAACACTGCATTGTTTCCCAAGGTCACATGACCATAGATAGTAGAGTGAATTTGAACTACAAACCTCTGTTCTTTCAGCTAGGTCTGAATAAATGTGCTGTGGATTTCTTCACTTGTTCAAGGCTCTGAAGGTCATATACTTAATGTTAGGACCAGTGCCCCAACCTCTCTGGCCACACCCTGGTCCCTTTTTTCCCCCTGAGTTTCTGAATGCTCTATGTGGCCACTGTCAAGGACTTCCCTTCCAGAAGGTTGGTGGTGAGCACAGTGTGAGAGCTCATGAAGAAATGGAAACCAGGAAGAATGGGAAATGGTCAAAAATGAAATTCCATTCCAGGATTTAAGGTTTCAGACCAGGTAGGAGGGAAGAGGCAGGAAGTATATTTGTTGACATATAGACCCTGCTTTCCTAAAATAGCAATAAAAATAACAATTAACACATTTATTGAGTGCCTGTTAAGTACCAGGTCCTGGGCCAAGCACACTACATATTGTCCTATGTAATCCTCGCAATAAACCTATGAGGTAGTTAACACCAAGACCCCCATTGTATGAATGATGAAACTGAGGCTCAAGGAGGTGAAGTCCCCTGGCCATACAGTGGCAGAATTGGGAATTAGGACCTGCTCTGTATGGCTCCCTTGCCTGAGCTCTGCACCATCGTGTTATGTGTCTCCTTGTCTACATGTTCCCGAATTGACTTCCAGATCATTTCGGAGCGCACCAAGCCCAGGATGCATGAGTTCCAGTCTGAAGTGTTCATGATCATTGGTGGCTGCACAAAGGATGAACGATTTGTGGCAGAGGTAACCTGCCTGGACCCCCTGAGGCGCAGCCGCCTGGAGGTGGCCAAGCTCCCACTGACGGAGCATGAGCTGGAGAGTGAGAATAAGAAGTGGGTGGAGTTTGCATGCGTGACATTAAAAAATGAGGTCTACATCTCAGGTAAGCAGGAGCCACGTGGAGCCAAAGCAAGCCCCCAATAGCACTCCACGTTTTCCTGAGTGAGCCAGGCAGCCGTCCCGCAAGAATGACTGGGAGTTGGCAATGACCTAGTTCGGACCGCACTATGGAACCAGGAGCTCAGGTGGTTTTATCTCAGAGAGATAAGTGTTTATTACTTAATAAACACTAATGTGTGACCATTAGGGCACCAGGATCTAGAGGAGCAGGCAGACAGGTCTAGCTCTTCATGGAAAAGGAAGAAGGAAAGGGATGCTAGGGCTTAGTCTCTGCTATAGGTACAGGGCACCGAGCTCAGTTTAGGACCACAGTACTGAATGGAAATGCCTGCTCTTCCTCCAAACCTGACCCCCTCCCGTGTTTATTAGTCATACTCTGATATACTTCATTAGCACACCGAAGTAGTGTGACAAGGCATTCTTTTCATTGCTAGATCATTGTATAATTCTTCACAACTTTATCTCATCTTGTCATTAGACCTGAAGTTCCAGGAGAGCCAACACTGTCTCCCCTATACCTAGCACTGTGTCCGACCTCAGAGTAAATGCTCAGTACATACTTAACACAGTCGCGACCATCTTTACCACGTAGTAGATGACTCTATAGCAACGTTCAGTGGCTTGCCTTTTATTAGTAAGGTAGGTTTTTTAAGACAGGAGAAAACTGAGGCTTAGAAAGGTTTAGAACACAACAAGGGTAACACCCTGGTATGTGTCAAGCAGAATCCCAACTCAGGTGCTGAGCCCAAGTCCCAGGCTTTCCCATCACACTAAAAGCCACTTGGCTCTTCTTGTTACCCTAAGAAAGGAGGCAGAATTCCTTCCTCACCCCTCAAGGCTTTTTTCCAGTCTGAACTTGTCCGGGAAGAGCGGCTTCCCACAGCTGTTTTCCTCCAAAATCAAGGGCAGGACGGCTCTTCTTTGGATGTGTTTATACCATTGATGAGGTTATAATTTTCTTTTATCTTGTAGAAATATTTTTAATTGTTACAGACTAGTCAAACGATATAGAGAATAGAACACCAATTATGGCAATGTGCCTGTGCCATTAGAATTCTGAATGTTTCAATATTTTACAAAAGCAGTTTGACATTGTTTTTAGTGTAAGTAATGTCAGCTGATGTGACAAATCCTAGGTCTCAGTAAATTAACACAGTGAATGTCAGGGTTGTCCATCTGCTCCTCTCAGGTCCCAGGCTCCTTTCATCTTGTGATACTGCCATTTTCCACACGTGGCCTTCAGTGAGGGAAGAGAAGTGAGTGAATTAAGAGGGCACAGCTCTGCACATATTCCATTGGCAAAAATTATCCATATGCCTTCCCACCAAGCACATAGGTTGACTGGGAAATGTGGCTTAGCTACGTGCCCAGGAGAGAAAACAAGTTTGGTTATCATGTACGGTCTTCACCACATACACTACATTTTATTGTATACTTGCCCTTCTCTTCTCTTAGGTTTATTGCTTATTTTTTAATGTTACAAGCAGTAAATTAAAGCATGCTTGTCATACACAATTTAAATCACCAGAAAAGTGTACTTCAATTAACAATATAATCTAGATATCACTGCATGTTGGCATAATGGATATGTGTGTTGAGTGACATACTACACATAAAGCACGGAGTAATGCCAAGTGCATGGTGGGAGTTGAATAATATTAGTCATTGTTGTCACTATTGTTGTTCTTTTAGACAGTCTACTGAAAGGGTGAATCACAATATATTTTTAGCTTTCTTTCTTGTTTCTTTTTGGTGGCCCTGGGGGGTTTAAACTCAGTTCCTCATGCTTGCTAGGCAGTTTCTTTACCATTTTCTGTCTCTTCCTGTTCCCCTGTGTTTGCTTTGTCCCCTCATTAGACACAGATTTCTCTTGTCTCCTCTTAGGGTGGGACTAGGCTAAAGATTCAGCACCTGTGGAGTTTTGGGAAATGAAAGGAGAAGCTGTATTTCCTACATAACTGGTGGTTTCTTAAATGCTTTGCATTTCTTGTAGGTGGCAAAGAAACAAAGCACGATGTCTGGAAATATAATTCTTCAATCAACAAATGGATTCAGATTGAGTATTTAAACATAGGCCGCTGGAGGCATAAGATGGTGGTGTTGGGTGGTAAGGTCTATGTGATTGGCGGTTTTGATGGCTTACAGAGGATCAACAATGTGGAGACCTACGACCCGTTCCACAACTGCTGGTCAGAGGTATGGGAGATTATTCCTATATGTAACTGTATTATTTCCTCAAAGCTTTAAAAAACCAAAAGACATCTGCCTATGGTGGAGGCTGGCTTTCTGATTGCTCCCACCGAGGACATTTTGGTAGCTCTGTGCTTCCCTCCTCCTAGGAAACATGGCTCCAGCATTGCTGATCATGTCTTAGTAACAACATCCTTCCAGGTGGTGGGGCTCTGTGTGGGCACTGGCCTCTCCTGGCCAGAGCCCCCAGCATAGAGGGGAGGCTGATCCTTTCCTGAGATGGTAGATCTCTTGGTCTGCATTTTCTGACACAGAAACTATTTATGCTTTTTCTGTTTGTGCATGCAGAACTGGGGCTTAAACTCAGGGCCTTCATCTTCAGCCACTCCACCAGCCCTATTTTTGTGAAGGGTTTTTCGAGACAGGGTCTTGAGAACTATTTGCCCGAGCTGGCTTCAAACCATGATCCTCCTGATCACTGCCTCCTGAGTAGCTAGGATCACAGGTGTGAGCCACTGGCACTTGGGCAGAATCTATTTCTTTAGATGTCTTCTGTCTTGTTTCTCTCCTCACCAGACACCTGAGAATCTATTTACTATACATGAACCTAGAGTCATTGGGTTGTGATTAGAAGTCAGCCTTTGAATATTTTCATATCAATGATGAACCATTTACACACCTGCATGCAAATCATTAGTAATGCAATGCTGGGTGTATATCATACTCAGGGAAAGTGAAGTGACCTTACCTCCTGCATGTCTAGGTTATTCTCAATTCAAATGTTCTTTCTTTTTACCAGAGCAAGTTCTAGCTTCCAAGAGTGTAAAAAACGGTCTTTTTAGGCACAAGCCTGGGCTACTATGACATCCAGCTTATTCCTGTCAATCTGAAAAGTGCTCTACAAGGAACCCTTAACATTTGTGGGTGATGTGCCCAAGATCTTCTGCTGGTGTCCAGTCCCATCACAGAGTTCCACCGTGACCCAAAGGGGTCATGCAAGTGGGCAAGAGTATCTTGAAAGTCCTTTTTAGTGTCCTGTGGTTTACAAGGTAGAAGCATAAGTCTGGCATGGTCCCCAAGTTTGCAATGTTGCTCCAGAGTCAGACAGCCTTGTGGCCACCTTATAACCCTTACACCAGCTTTTCTTCCTGGATACCAACCAGCACACCAAGGACAATCAACACTGGCACATAGTAGGCATTGAGTATTTTATGAATGAATGAACACATGGGTGAATATGAATGTGAATATTTGAAAAATCATTTTCCTTCAACATTGACTGGCTTCATGTATATAAAAACACTTATTCCTGCCTCTAGCCCTCTTTCCCAAAGAGCTGGCCTCTGGGAGAAACATGTAGAAGTAGCCTGCCTGGAGTCTGTAGAGTGAGTGGAGAATGAAGGCTTAGATTATCTCTGCATCTTGAGGACAGTCAAGTCCATAGGACTGGTTACTTCCAGCAAAGGATGCCCAAGTTTGTGTTCTAGGACATATGTCCAGTGAGCCCCTCTAGCAACTTGGGCTGCATGACTTACCACTTCTTCTTCTGCCCTGTCCCTCTGCAGGCTGCACCCCTCCTTGTCCATGTGAGTTCCTTCGCAGCCACCAGCCACAAGAAGAAGCTCTATGTGATTGGTGGTGGGCCCAATGGAAAACTGGCCACGGACAAGACTCAGTGTTATGACCCTTCAACCAATAAATGGACTTTAAAGTCGGCCATGCCAGTAGAGGCTAAATGCATCAATGCAGTGAGTTTCCGGGACCGCATCTATGTCGTTGGTGAGTGAGTGATAGTTTCTTTTTTCTATCTGAGGGCCCCCACCCATGTAGACATAAGGGAGATCAAATAAGGGCCTCTTGAGAACTCTTGGAAGATGTGGATAGGGCTGAAAAGGAAGAGAAGATAGGGTTGCTCCAGGCCATGGTGGAATTCCCTGTGAAATCCTGGAGGCAGAATCATTCTCGCAAAACAGACGGACGTTGTGGTCCAGGGGATGAGGCCAGAAGTCATTTCCAGAGCAAAGTTGTGTTGCAAACATTAGCAAATGTACAGAAATTGAAATGTGTACAGGATAATAAGTGCCCAGCAAATGAGAGCCATCAATATTTCTTAGTTTGTGATCATGGGAGTTTCTCTCTCTCTCTGCTTGTGCTAGGGGCTCTGAAAAGTTGTGTTTAGTTGGGAGGAAAGTCTGGCCAGCCTGACCACAGTTGGCATGTGATTGTTAAGGATGGTAGTCTCAGTCCTGAGTATTCATTAGAATCTCCAGGGAGCTTTTTACAAAAGTACGGTGGTAGCTGGGCCTTACCCTACATAGTAGAATCAGAATGGGAAGGAGGATGCTGCAGAACAGTGCAAATGTATTTTTAAAAACTCCAGGTGATTTTAATGTGCAGCCAGAATGGACAACTGATTAAGGAGATGCTAGAAAATGAGTAACTTCAGTGACTACTCAGAGTCAGTCGGAGAATGTATTTACAGGCAAAACACTGGAACAGATTAAGGAAAAAGAATACTTCTCTCCCTTGCTTCAGGTTTCTTGTGAGTTTGTTTAGTCAGCCTCTGGACTGCTTCAAAGGTCTAATTTCAAGATGGGCAACTTTGTCCCAGATCATGCTCAGTCTCCAAAGAGATGCCTCCCCTAGCTACTGCCAGGGATGGATGGCTTCTATTACCACCTCTGCCAGGGGCTTTATGTGCACTGTCCTTCTGATGCCCTGATGGTTACCATGGGCATGAATCGGAAAGTGGCAGAGCTGACTGGGATTCTGGGACAAGATCATTTGAGGCACCAGCTGGTGTTCTTCCAGGGAGAAGCCATGTAAGCCAGGTGTCCTTTGGCACCTGATTCATACCTGGCTGTGGAATTAAAGGACTTTAGTGTCCTCGCATTGACAATTTGCTGCCCCTAGAAATCAATCGACTTTGGCTTTCTGAAGAGAAAGCCATTGATCTACTGTTTGTCTTGACAAGATGGTAGTAGACCTGACCTAACCAGAAGTGTAATTCTCTGGTTAATGGGGAAGAAAAGCAGAAAAATGGTGGGATGCTCATTGTGTGTGCTTTTCCTCCTCAGGTGGGGCCATGAGAGCACTGTACGCCTATAGTCCCCTGGAAGACAGCTGGTGCCTGGTGACACAGCTCAGCCATGAGCGGGCCAGCTGCGGCATCGCACCCTGCAACAACAGGCTCTACATCACTGGTGGACGGGATGAGAAGAACGAGGTCATTGCCACTGTTCTGTGCTGGGACCCTGAGGCCCAGAAGCTGACGGAGGAGTGTGTGTTGCCCCGGGGGGTGTCACACCATGGCAGTGTCACCATCAGGAAGTCATATACCCACATCCGAAGGATTGTGCCTGGGGCAGTGTCTGTGTGACTGGTACCCTGAGCCCTTGACCACTGCCTCAGAGTCCTGCCTGTGTCCATCCCACGCTAGCCCCTGGCTTGCAGCTGAGGCCATGAGTGGCGTGCTCTGGGACAGCTAGGATGTCACAGCCAGGAATGTTTGTGTGACTACCTCACGAGGAAAGATGAGGAGAAGAATAATAGTTGACATTCAGGACACACCTACCATCCCTGGGTCCCCATTTAACTATGGTAACGTCCCGGTGCCTGGCTGTCATCACTACTGTCTTGCAGGTAAGGAAATCGAGTTTCAGGAAGGCTAAGAATCTTGTCCCAGGTGGCTCAGACAGCAAGTACCTAAGCCAGGAGTCAAAACCTAGGTCTTTCCATTTCAAAGTCAGCCTATCCTTCCCACCAGGCTTATCAGGGAAAACAAAAACAAAACCCCAAACCTGGCAAGTCTGCTCAAAGATTCACTCAGCAAGGCAGGCAAATAAGGTGTTTCTCCCCTCCCCTCTTTCTTCCTTTTATCCCTTGTATTAAACCACATGGAATCCTTTGTCCTGGAGCCTTTTGGGCCCCATGTCAAGAGTGTCTCAAGTTTTGCACTGGACAGGTCTGTGGGGACCTATCTGGGAAAACATGTTTGCTTCGAAAGAAGTGAAAGACTTGTCTTCTGTTCTCCCCACATCCAAGCCTCTATTTTTTATGATCACAGGATGGCCCACTTTGGACTAGGACTGTCAATGCCAGACAGAATTACTTTCCCCACAGTCTGGTACCCTGTCTCTTACTGTTCAACAGTTGTACTATAATATAGAAAAAAGATTTCCAGAGACTCAAACTACTGTTTTGTTTTTAAATGTAAACATGGCTGGCCACTGCCGGAAAGTCAGATTCTTCTGGATGGTATATTCATTCTACTTTTAGGCAATGATTTGGGTCTGTGTTCCTGGGACCTCATCCTTCTGGAACATTAGTTTGCAGGATCTTTTTAAGCTCTTCTACTTGGATTTTGGATCAGCTTGGCTCAAAGAATAGAATCTGCCCTTCACTGTAAGCGAAGATCTTTCAAATGAGCTCATTGGAAATGCACTCTAATCCCTGAGGTGGAGAAATAGGTTAAGAGATCCTGTTTCATATGCTGTAGTTAAAAGCATAGTAACTGCATTACCCGAGATCCTTTATTTTCATAGTATGATTTCAATTCTCTTTATAGAGTTTTATATTATGCCAGAGGGGGCAAATTGTGCTTGTACTTCTCAGCAGTTTGGGAATTGAGAGAAATTAGAGTTGATAGTTGAAAAAGTTATGGTCAGAAGAACCTGATGTTCAAAACAAATTTAAAAACCTTGGAGAAATTACAAGTGAGATTTCTGTTTATGCCTAGATTGTTGAGGATAAATAGAAACGCATGTGTTATGAAAAGTAGGATGGGACGATGCAAACATATTTGTGGACATTTAGAGCATCTGTCACTCGTAAGCACTAGCAACCTTCACGAAGCTCTCAATGGAAGCAATTTAGTCTGGTTCAATTTAGCCAAGTCTCAGAAACACCAATGAACGACAAATCCTCATCCTAGAGACACTGAATAAATGGGTAAACAGGCCACCAGTAAATAGTCTAACTTTTCTTCAAGTTAGCTAAAAATGAGATGCACAGGAAGTTCTAAGAATACACCCAAGTCTTGGTTGCTTTTCAAGGGATCTGCTCGGGAATTTGTGGACTTAGGTCAACTACTAGTGATTTCTTACCTGTCTGTCTCCTCGAGATTGTGTTTACAAGCCATTTACTTGTGAGTGTAGGAGGAAAAAAATCACTCTTGGTCCAAAGGCTATTTCAGGGAGGAGCTTCTAAAGAGGAAATCCAGTGACAGCATAAGTAGCACACACAGAGGGCCTTTGCTCGCAGAGAGAGTGCTCCTTGTCAGGGCGTCCATGACTGTCTTTTGATAGAGCAATCAGCAAACTCCGAGATCCCCAGCATGTCAAGCCTATGCTGACAAAGTGAGGATTTAGGATCTCTGAGTTATAATCTTGAGCCTAATGCAGGACTCGGTTGTAGAGTTTAGAGTTCAGAATCCCTAAATGTGAACAAGGAGAGGCTCTGATTTTTATAACGTCAGATAAGCAAGTGGATTTAAAATCACAGGTACCTGTGCTCAAGACACAGAGATTCTAAATAATGGCATAGGATGGGGACAGATGCACCTATTAAAAAGATCTAAAGTTTCTGCATTTGAAGTTGCTAGTCTGTGGCTTTTAGGGAAAGAGAAAGAGTTCAAGTCATTTGGAAAAAAAAAAAAAAACCAGCAACAAAAAACAACCTCTGTAAGTATAGTCATTGTCATCAGGGTTTAAACTTCTAGCCTCTGATCAGGGATGGGAGCTCTTAGAACTCAATTGCTATTCTAAGATAATAAAACAAAACTCCAAGTTTGCATCATGTTAACTGTTTTAACTCACGTCATCAGTATGGGGAGAGCTAAGACAGGACTAACCCACAGACAAAGGACCCTAGGACTCAGGACATTAGGACACAGCCGTGTGCATGTTGAGGCAAGGTCCTGTGAGCAGGTAGCACATCCTTGGCTGGGAAGAAGAGGGTGGGGGAGGAAGAGAAGGTCAGGTTCAAGGATGAGGGTCTGAAAAATGGTATCAGGGGTCCTGGAGTTTGTGAGCATGACTCTACTCCCAAAACAGATAAGGAACAATAAGGAATAGGGGGTTCCAGGCAAGGGAACCCACTTCTTAGACTCAAGTTACAAGTCAGAGCAGGGCCAGCAGTCAGGCCTCTGAGCTGCCTGGCTGGCTCTTCTATCCTATTGGACCTGGAGAGAATGCAGACCAAGTCTTTGATGGAGCGGAGTCTGTACGTGAGGTAAGGGGCCCTAGTTGCCAAGGCTAGTCTGAAACAGGCTAGAACAAGCTCACCAAAACACCAACAGATGAGTGTTCTCTTCTTAGCTTTCAACTGCCTCAGTCTCAGTGGTTTCAGGAAACACACACACACACACACACACACACACACACACACACAGTGCCCTTGAACTCAAAGCAAACTGTGCTTTCAGAGAAATACAATTACCATTCTTTTATAGCTGGTAAAGTATAGCTTTGCTATTTATAAAAGTCCTTTAGGTACCATTATTGGTTATTTACTTATTCTGCTTGATTTTGAAAAATGAAAGTACTCAACAGAATTTTTAAAGTGAGTATAGACAACAGTGAAACTTCTTATATAAAGTCCTCACCTGGGGTTGCAAAATCATGCTTTCCTCTTAGTTCTAGACCTCATGATTTGAAGAGTCAGCCTTCATGGAAATTCACATGTCTCAAATATGCTCAATGCAAAACCATTTCTGAGAAGTCAGAGTTTCATATTTATAGTTCTAATAATCATCACTTGGTGAACCAAACTCTAAATGTTTTGGTTACAAGAGGGTATTATTTTTTTAAGTGATCAAAGTAAGGATGTTGTGAATATGTTAAAAAACAAAATTTTTATTTATTCAATAAAGTATAAGTGGAATGGATAAGAATGTGTTGTGTATTGTCTTTTTTTTTTTCTTTTTTGGTTGATATGAATAACTAGTATTTGAATAGAAGTCAATCTGGGACATAGAAATTTAAACCATTTCGGTTGATTTTAGAGGGCTTACATCGATGCAAGGGTAAGATTCACCAGGTTTGGTTTGTGGAATGGCAACCATAAATGGCTTTGTTTGTTTCTAGCAACTGGAGATTTTCCTTTTCTTCTTGCATGCTTGGGTGTCTGCTTTGTTATTTATTGCTGTATAACAACCTACTTTGAAACCTGTGCCAAGTCATCTCTGGTCACATGCTGCCTCCCCTGGGATCTCCACAGCTAGAAATCTCACGACCCTTCTTGTCTTGACTGCTAACTACCCTAGTCCTGTGTTGTCTCTAGCTTCTAAGTTCGGAGGTTTGGAGGAAAAGCGAAAGAAGATTTGGGATTTCCTGGCTCTAGATTCTTTAGAAAGGTCAAAGCTGGGTGGAGGACTGGAGGCGCCACCTTCTGTGCATAAGATTGTTTTTCTGCTCCCTCATGGCATTGCTCAGCTCCTCCAAGTTTGGCACTGGAGGGAGAAACTCCCAGAGGGAACACAGCGCTGGACCATGAAAACCTGACTCTTGTCCCCACTGTGAAAGTGTCCTGTACCTGTCTTTTCACTTAATTTCCCAAGAATTAAAAACCCAGGCTGGAATAATTCAGTAAGACTGCACTGATGACCTAGAGATGATACAGGGAAACACACGCACAGAGGAATAGCACTGTGGGTAATGGAGATGACAAGGTGCAGCTACCCTGAGGAGTGGTTTGTTCTTAGGAGGGGTGTGTGTGGTGTGTGTCTGAGTGTTCATGAGTTGTATTAAGGATGCACAACACCAGACATTAGCCAGAGCAGTGCAAACTGATTTTACTTAGTAACTGCTGTCAGCAAGGAAAGAGCTAAACCTATCCTTTATGATCTGTGCAGAGGTGACTGGGCCTCTGAAGGGAATGGGGAGCAAGTGAGCAGGACTCAGAGAGAATCAAGGACATGAATTATAGAGGATGGGGCAGACTATGTCTGTCCACTCCCTGGTGGTTACCCAAGGAGGGATTCTGTCCTCACAGGGACAGGGAGACAGAGGCTTTCTCTTTCCCAGATGACTTTTTTCTTCTTCGTTTTATCTTTCTTTCTCCTTCCTTCTCCTCTTCCTCCTCCTTCTCCTCTTCTTCCTCTTCCTTTTTGGTGGCACTAGCTAAGCAACTGCTCTACCACTTGAGCTATGCCCCCAATCCTTTTGCTTTTATAATTTGTCTTCTAGAGAGGATCTCAGGCTAACTTTTCCTGGGCTGGTCTCCAACCTCAATCCTCCTACCTGTCTTCTGAGTTGTTTAAGGCATGAGCCACCATGCCTGGCCATCAGATGATTTCTTTTAAAGGAATGGCTCTCAGGTCCTTAAGAAAGATGATTAAATAAATAAATAAATAAATGAACAAATCAGAAAAGAAAGATGCTTCTGATGCATATGAGATATTCAACACACATGTCTCAAAGGGACAGAAGAGGACTCACAACTGTGAACCTGCTGTGAGGAGGTCAGGGGCCTGTGGTCTGTGGTCAGGTATTGGCTATGACAAACCATCAGTTTTTTTTGACAACTTTGACCTTTTCCAGGCAACAACTCAAAAGGGGGCTGGGTCATCCCAGGGATATGGCCTGAGGTGACTGGAAGCCGTGCTAACATGTGGTCAGTCTCTGAGTGAGTGTAGGATTTATGTGGGGTACAGGTGCTGAGCCCCTCAATGTTTGGGTGTACTTGCTTTATGAAGCTGACAGAGTTAAAAGGTAGAATAGAACTGCCCTGTCATGAGCACAAAACTTCTTTGAACTCATATATTCCACAGCAGTGCCATGTATCACCATAGAAAACATATTTTCAGCTGGATGTCATGGTGCAGTTCTGTCATCCCAGCACTCAGGAGGCAGAGACAGGAGAATCATGAGTTCAAGGACAACCTGATCTATATGATGAGACCCTATCTCAAAACAAACAGAAAAATAACAACAAAATGGAACACATTTTCAGTCTTCCCTCTTCTATTTTTTTCTTAAAGCAAGGTTCACAGTCCACCAAATTAACTTCATCACTTACCAGTGGTCAGAAGTCACAACCCACATCTAAAAAATAAAAGGCTGGAGGGCACTGGAGTGAGGGGAAGGGAAGGTGGCTACCTGTGGTTTCCCACAGGCAGTAGCACCCCATAGAAACCAGAGGGACACATCTGACTGCACAGAGAAATCTGAGCCTGGCCCTCAACAGACAGGATTTTTTGTGGGTTAAGTTCTATTCTTTCATAATAAAAATTTAGTAATAGGAGTGCTTATTGAGCAATTTCCCACAAACATGAGATTGAGCCAGAAACAGTCAAAGAGATTAGGCCAGTGAAGAACCAGTCTAAGTAGAAATGCTGAGGTTTACAGTCATCAGAGTGCATCCTGGTAAAATGTATTTCCAGAATTGCCACTATGAACCCAAAGTTTTTGTGAATCCAATAAACTTTGAGTTCATTCTCCAAGTCCCAGGTAGAAACCCAGAGGAAAAGCAAAATATTAGACTTTCTTCTGAATCCTAAACAGACATTGGTGAAAGAAGAAAATGGGTGAATCTTTGTGAAACAATGCAACCGAGTGTTTTTTTTGGTGATGGTACTGAGGTTTGAACTCAGGGCCTTGTGCTTATTAGGCAAGTGCTCTACCACTTGAGCCATATTCTTGGTCCTTTTTGCTTTGTTTATTTTGAGATAGGGGCTCACATTTATTCCTGGGCCAGCCTGGACTGTGATCTTCTTATTTACTCTTCTGGTATGGCTGGAGGAGCAGGTGTATGCCACCATGTCTAGTTTTTTATTGGTTGAGATAAGGTCTTGAGAAGTTTTTTTTTTTTTTTTTTTTGATGGCGCTAGTGTTTGAACTCAGGAGCCTCATGCTTGGAGAGAAGTGCTCTACCACTTGAGCCACATCTCCAGTCTGGGTCCCGAGAACTTTTTGCTGAATTGGCCTCCATCCATCCAATTTCTGCCTCCTGAGTAGCTAGGGTTACAGGCATGAGCCACAATGCCTAGTTGCAATAACTACCAAGTGCCAGGCACAATTTTAGGCACTAGGGTTCCATCTGTGAACAAAGTCCCTACTCTCATGAGCTAACATTCTAGGAGAGAGTGATGGGTAACAACCAAACAAATGCATAATATGATGTCAGGCAGTGACAAACACCGGAAGAACTAAAGCAGGGTAAGGTTATGCATGCTACTTTAAATAGGATGAACAGAGACCCCTTTTCTGATGGAGATTTGAGAATAGAGATTTGAGAGAAAGTGTGAGGCCTGGGAGCATCCTGAAGAGCTTGTTTCAGGTAGGGAGAACAGCCAGTGTGAAGCCTCAGAGGTAAGAGGCACAGAGTATTTAAAGAACAGTAAAAAGGCTTATAGAACTGAAGTTCAAAGGTCACTGAAAACACTTTGAGTGTAATCAGAGTAAGATGACAGCAAATAAGACAATTTTAGAAATGCACAATATTCACAAATGTTGCACACCAAAGCTTGTGACTTGAAAATCCACAACCTTCGCCACAAACATCGCCTTCACAGGAGATGTTTAACTGCAAGGAATTGACACTATGAACCCAAAGTTTTTGTGAACCCAATAAACTCTGAGTTCATTCTCCAAGTCCCTGGTGTTTCTGACTCTGCCCTGAGCACTCACATCGCAGTGGGCTGCAGGCTGTCCATACTG